CCATCCCTTCCCACCTTTACAGACACACCCAGAATAATTTTTGACCAAATATCTGGGCATCCTATAGCCCAGTAAAGTTAATGCATAAAATTTATCAACACAGAATAATTTATTAGTTATAAGATTATGTACACTGAAGATGATCAAGATAAATTGCTTATTAAAAATAGTAGCAATGTTGACAAATGTTGATAATAGTGCTTACTGTGCCAGGCACTTTTTTAAGTACTTCATAAGTATTAACTCAATATAGAGATGGTTTTCCATTTTACAGATAAGGAAGCTGAGGTATAGCAAAAGTAACTTATTCAAAGTCACACAACAAGTAAATGAATTTGAACCTTTGTATTATGGCTTCCTTAGTAAATTATGCCTATGGTGTACATTCTCTTGCTCTTCCAGTTGTTAACTGGTATTTTCACTCTGTATTATAATGTTACACAAACACTGGTAATGTGGTGGTTGCTTGAGTTTAACCTAAATTTTTAACCTAAAGGTTTAACCTACATTAACTAGTACTTATTTAGGAAATAATTATATAATATTATGTTTAGATCTTGATATTGATATTTAACTTATAAATTCTTAAAGTTCAGAATTCTAAATTATTTTTTTAACAGTAGCCTCAGAAAATATATTTGAATTTTGGTCTTTGCAAAGTGAGAAATGTGAGATCATATAAGGTTAAGCTGTTTTTGGAAAAAAAAAAAAGAATGTAACCTTTGATAGACTTGAAATCAGAATCTGTAGTATTCAAGCCACTGGGGAAGATAAAAGCAAACAAAGATTCTGCAGAGCACAGAAAACAAAGGAACCAGAAAGACAGCATAATATGAAATGATGAAAGCAAGAACAACCTATTAGCTAAATATATTTGAGTTATAATTTCTTACTAAATGACAACATTTGTGATTTAAATAGAATTAAAATATTACTTTTAAAAGTCACATCAAAAGGCAAATAATAGAATAAATGGATTAATAAACATTTTTCAAAGGAAAGCAGAAAAGTTAATAATAAGTTTGGATAAACAAGACAAATAATAACGTATTTGAATAAAGTATCACAAACTTTCACTTTGAAATTTGAAATAACGGATAATTGTTGAGGAAAATGTAATTAATTGAAGAAGTAGAATGCATGAATAAATCAATTCATTTACATTTTCTTCAGTTACCAACAAATTATCTTGAAAACATTTTTTACTCTTTTAACTAGTGAAATTCCTTCACATTTTTGTGGAAGGAAAATATCACGGCCTATGATAGTTATCTGAAATATACATTAAAATAACCTTTTTGAAATAAGGAAAGTAATTCATTTCATGAGTCATGTTTAATTCTCCCTCCAAAGTAAATGACTAGGAGCCTTAGAGATGTAGTTCAGTGGTAGAGCCCTTGCTTTTTCTTATGTAAGACCTTGGGTTTGATCCCTAACACCACAGAAACAAACAAACAAACAAAAAAACAAACTAAACAGCTAGGGTACTTCTATGAACACATATGCATATACTCAAAAAGGAAAATTGGATCAATTGTTGCTTAAGAATGTAAATGTAGAATTTTCAGATGAAAGAAAATTATTATTGTTAAAATAATTGTAATTATCTACATTATGAAACTAAATAGGTAGGACTAATATCAGTAATAGAGGGGTCCTATAATTTTAGGAAATGTGCAAAATTAATAAACCAGTGTTTCTAATCAGGAAATCCACATAAATGTGCATTTACCTTAGTGCATAAAAACAAATAAAAATAACCTTAATACCCAGTTCGTTTCTATTTTTTAAAATAAATAGAAAATAATCATAAAATTTTTTTAAATTGTGGCACAGCACAACATAAAACCATTCTAACCATTTGTAATTGTGCATTACAATAGTGTCAACGATATATGTATATCTTCTTGTGCAAAAGATCTCTAGAACTTTTTCATCTTCTAAAACCAAAATTCTGTCTATTGAACAACTCTTTTTTCCCCTCCCCAACTTCTGTCAATCACTGCTCTCTACTTCTAAAAGTGGAATTATTCAGTATTTCTTTTTGTGACTGATGTATTTCACTTAGTATAATGTTTGCAAGGTTAATTCATGTTTTAGCATATGAAAGTATTTTCTTTTTAACATGAAATAATATTCCACTATATATATAAAAGATACATAGCATAGGAAACATTTTCTTTATCCACTCATCCACAGATAGACTTTTGGGTTGCTTTTACCTCTTGACTTTTATGGATAATACTACAGTGATATTGAGTGTGCAAATATCCTGCTTTTAGATGTTTACTTGGAAGTGGGATTGCTGAAATACAGTAATTCTAGTTTTAATTTTTTGAGGAACCTCCCTACTTTTTTTTTTTTTTTAATAATGACTGCACCATTTTACTTTCTTTCCCACAGTGCCCAAGATTTTTAGTTTTTCCACTTTCTTGCAATGTTTATTATTTTCAGCTTGTTTTTGGTGGTGGGGGTGGATAATGGGATCCATTTCTCTGATAACTAAAGATGTTGAGCATCTTTAATTTGTTGGCTCTGTTTTTCTTTTGGAAAAAATGTCTGTTCAATTCTTTTACCCATTTTTAATTGGGTTATTTGTTTTTTGTTGTTAATAGATTTTCTTTATATATTCTGGATATTAACCCCATTAGTGTGTGTATGATTAAGGAATATTTCTCCCATTCTTTAGATTTCCTTTTCTTTCTATTGTTTTCTATGCTGTGCCGATGTTTTCAATTTGTGTATTTTTCCTTTTCTTGGTGCCTTTGGTGTCATATTCAGTAATCATTGGAAAATCCAGTGACTTGGGAATCTTTATTTGTATATTTGAGGCCCTTAACATTCCCTACAAGTTTTAGGATGTTTTTTCCTACATTTGCAAAAATTGTCATTGTAATTTTGATTGGGATTGCTTTCAGACAGTAGATTACTTTCATTTATAAACACATTTTAACAATATTAAATCTTCTAATTTGTGAATAGGAAATGTCTTTGCATTTATTTGTCTTCTTTATTTCTTTCAGCAATATTTTGTGATTTTCATTGTAAAAGTCTTGCCTTTTTGGTGAAGTTTATTTTTAAGTGTTTTATTATGGATGCTATTATATGTGATAGTTTTCTTCCTTTTCATATTGTTCATTGTTGGTTTATAAAATGCAACTGATTATTGTGTGTTGATTTTGTATCCTACTGACTTCAAGTATTCCTGTGTGTGTGTGTGTGTGTGTGTGTGTGGTGGGTTAATTACAGTTTTCTACATACTGAGTCATATAATCTTTGAAAGTATGATTTTACTTCTTTGTCAATTTGGATGCTTTTTCTTTCTTTTTCTTGCCTGATTGCTCTGATACGACTTTTAGAATTATGATGAATAGAAGCAGTGAGAATTGGCATGCTGGCCTCATTCTGATCTTAGTGGGAAAGTTTCACATTTGAGTATGATATTGGTAGCTGTGGCCTTTATTATATTGACATAATTTACTTCTAGACGTTGTTTGGTGTGTGTGTGTGTGTGTGTGTTCTTTTGTTTTTTGTTTGGGTACCAGGGATTGAACTCAGGGGCACTCAACCACATCCTCAGCCCTATTTTGTATGTTATTTAGAGACAGGGTCTCCCTGAGTTGCTTACTGTCTCACTTTTGCTGAGGTTGGCTTTGAACTCAGGATCCTCCTGCTTCAGCTTCCCAGCCGCTGGGATTATAGATGTACAACACTGCTCCCAGATGTGTTTTTGAAAGAATTTTTGTCAGAACATGTTTTATGTGCATCAATTGAAGGTGTTTTTTTTTTCCTCCATTTTGTCAATGTTTTAAATTATATTTCTTTGATATGATGAAAAACATCTTTAAGATACTTGAGAAGCAGATTGCATTATGTATAAAATCTTGGCAATCTGAATGTATTTTGTGGTTATTCATAAGGAATAATCAATTATTTGTACAGTTCCCACGTGATTAAATTTAAAGCCATAAGATGTATGAAACAAATTTGTAAGAAACAAATAACATTGAAAATTTCTATGCATATGTATAAAAATCATAAATTGGGTTGGAGCTGTATGTAACTCAGTGGTAGAGTGTTTGCCTAGCATGCATGAGGCACTGGGTTCAATCCTCAGCACCACATAAAAATAAACAAATAAAAAATAGGCATTCTGTCAAACTATCAAAAAAAAAAAGATAAAATGGGCCTGCCGAGTTTGCTCTTTAAAAAAAAAAATCACAAATCAACATTTTTCATTTGTCATTTTGTTCACTTACAACAGTCAAAATTAGAACTTTCTTTTTATGACACTAATAATTTTTGAAATGTTAGACATTTATTTATATTATACTCTTATTTATATTATATTTAAAAGTGATTTCATTGTAACAATATTGAAATATCTTTTTTTTAACAAATGATACTTGGTCTATAATTTTTTGGGGGATGAATACTTTGTAAAGCTTGTTGAAAGTAATAGTAGTAATTTCTGTGGTTTTTGCATTTTGTTTTATCAAATTGTATCTAGGCTTCTACCATTTTCTTGTTAATCATCTTTGATCTAAACATGCTTTGTCTATAATTTTTTTATGGCTTCACAAATTGTCTTCTGTATATCAAAAGATGATGCTGATAATGATAATAATTATTATAATAATAATAGCTACCATTGATTGAAGATTTATTTTTGTCAAGCACTGGCTCAAGACTTTTATTAGTCCTTATAAAAGTTCTGCAGGGTAGGTACTCTTGCAGTTTCTGTTTTACAGATGAGAACATAAGGGCAGGAAATTGTTAGGCAACTTTGCTGAAGATCATGCAACTAGTCAGTGGCAGAGCAGGACAGCAACAGATGATTTTAGCATAAGACATAATTTAAATCATCTATATATTCCCATTTATTCACTCAATAATTTCATTGTTTGATAGGTCAATGACTAAATTTTTTCTTTTAAATAAATTTTCAATATTACTTTTTATGTGTTCAATATTCTTCTTCTTCTCCCTCCCCCACCCAGGATGGGCAACCTGAAATTTTGTATACATTCTGGAATTCAGTTACTCAGAAACTTTCTTCTCAGTTTCATACAGCAACAAATTGTAAGTTTACTCAAATCCACTTCAAGTTTTTTAGTTACTTTAAAATTTGATGTGAATAAGTTTTGCTTTATTTTATTGTTACTTTAAATCCTCTGGGTAATTGCTATTTCTTCTAGATGTTTAGTCCAGAATACTTAGTCATATAAAACAGTTTTATAATTAGTATTTAGAATAAAATTCTCTGAAAGAATAAGTTCATTCTACATAATTCAAACATTGGAAGAACTCTGGATTTTTCCTATATAGAGAATATAAAGCACTTGATGTTGATGAATTAGTTCATGCTTTAGAATTAATTTAATTCTGAATTAAATGATTTTAAAATTTAGAGATTTCACAGCTGTTTCCTTAATGTTAACAATGAAAATTTAATTATAAACATGTAGATAAAATACCTGCCCCATGAATTAAAAGTTGACCACTCAAATTTGATCTGAAAAACTTAATATTAATTCACTATGTCTTGAAATAATAGCACAGGAGTGGTTTCAAAGAGTGAAATGTAAAAATTGGCTAATATAATTGTGTTTGTTTAATTATTGATGATTAAAGCATTGAACGTCCCAAGGCTTTTACAAAAAACTTTGAAGAGTTTGTGTGTAGTTAAATTTTATTCACATACATTTACTAAAAGGATCAATTGTTTGTTAAGTATTAGTCACTGGGAACTCAGAGTTGAATAGACTATGCTACCTGACTTCTTACTTCTGTTTTTAATTAAGTATGTATCAAAGCAGCAACCACAGAGACGGCCTTCATTCTTGTGTGGCCAGACAACCTAAGCAGAGGATTTAATTGGAACTGATTTACTTGCACAAATCCCCTCTATTTATCTTGGAAGAGAATACTGTGCATCTCCTTACATTTGGTTAGCTTTTGTTAGCTTCATTGACCTAAAATTTATATGGAGTAAATATTCACCAATTTTAGACATAAAATTCTAGGGGTCTTGACAGATGCTCACATTTATATAACTGTCATCACCATTAAGATGTAGAATATTGTCATCAGCCAGGTACATGCCTATAATCCCCAGGTTTTGATTAGGATTGCACTGACTCTGTGTGTCAATTTGTAATGAATTTACAACTCAAAATTGCATTTTCTCATCCACAGCATGATATACCTCCCTGTTTATTTAGGTTTTTTATATTTTCATTTATTATTGCTATATGGTTTTTAGTGTCTAGCAAATGATGTCATGAATTTAAAACTATTTCTTACATTTTGATGCTATTATAAATAATGTTGTTTTAAAATTTCACTTTATAAGTATTCATTATTAAATTATATAAATATATTTGATAACTTTATTTTGATCTTCTGTACTGGGAGTTTGCTAATCTTGCTTATTATTTCTAGTAGTTGTTGGAGATTTCTTAGGAATATTCTATACAGATGATCATGTTGCCTGCAAATAAAAAGTTGTGTTTTTTTTTTCAGTCTGGTTAGCCAGCTTTCTTCCTTTTGTTTCCTTCCTCCCGTTAGTCAGCTTTTTCACCACTGCGACCAAAAGGCCTGACAAGAACAATTAGAGGAGGAAAGGCTTATTTGGGCCTCATGGTTTTAGAAATCATAGACCATAGATGGTCAGCTCCATTGCTTTCAGCCTGAGGTGAGGCAGACCATCATAGCAGAAGGATGTGGAGGAAAGAAGCACCTTGGATATGATTGCCAGGAAGAGGAGACAGTTCCACTCACCAGGGACAAAATGAATACCCCAAAGGCATGGATGGCCCCAATGACATACCTTTTCCATCCACACCCTACATTCCTGCTACCCATTTAATTCATTCAAGTAAATTAAGACATTGATTAAGTTAAGGCTATTATAACCCTATCATTTCACTTCTAGATATTTTTGCATTGTTTCACACATGAGCTTTTGGTGAAAACCTCATATTCAAATCATAACACTCCCTTTCTTGCTTTCTTCCTCTTCCCTTCTTTTTCTTTGTATTATTGTAGTGTGTTGAGCCGCTCTGGACAGGAGCTTTGTATGTGGTGAGCCCAGCCATGGGCTGTGTGTGTGTGAATGGTAAGCATTGAGCACACAAATTGGACTGGACTGACGTTGCCCCTTTGGGCTGGCAATGTATGTGTCCTTTTTGCTTGCTCTGCCTATGATCCACACAGCACATGGGATAGACATGGCCTTCCAAGGTGTCATTCTGCTGACAACATGACATCTGGAAGTTAGACTCAACCCCCTGAAACCTGACTCCTTGTCTCATTTGAATAGCTTCTCTGCAATAAAAGGGTTCAGAATGTGCTCCTTGCTCTCTTTCTTGCCTGCCTTGCCTCCTTTGTAGGAGCTGGGTCAAAGGAGCCATCACAGAACCCCAAGAAAAAGTATTTCTCTGTGTGTCATTATTTCGTGCCAGCACAGTTCACCTGGAGTAACCCTTACTGGTTTAGTCATATGTTGCAACAGTAGTGTATTATATCTCTGGTACTGTATAGATATAAATAGGGTTGGCATTTTTGTCTTGTTTACCATCTTAGAAAACATTTAGCAACATTCATTATGATGCTAATTGCAGGTTTTTCAGTGATGTCCATTATCAAATTGAGGGGGTTTCTAATTTGTTGAGACTTTTTATTTTAAATCATTGATTTGGGGGTGGTGGCGGCATGTAACCAGGGATTGAGCCCAAGGGCACTTAACCACTGAACCATATCCCTAGCCCTTTTAAAAAACATTTTATTTAGAGATAGGGTGTTACTGAGTTACTTAGGGCCTCACTAAGTTGCTGGGGCTATCTTTGAACTGGCCCTCTCAAGCCACTGGGATTACAGGCATGCATCACCATACCCAGCTTAAAAACTTTTTTTTAAAATTCTTTTCCTCTATCTTTTCAAGTAGTATTAATTATTTTAATCTGTTAAAATGATGAATTGAGGGCTGGAGTAGTGGCTCAGTGGTAGAGCACTTGCCTAGCACACATGAGGCACTGGGTTCGACCCCCAGCATCACATTAAAAAAATAAAATACTAAATAAAGGTATTGTGTCCATGTACAACTAAAAAAATACATTAAAAAATGATGAATTGATTAGTTTTCAGATGTTGAACTAGCCTAGTATTTCTAGGATACACCCTACGTGGTCATGATGTTCTTTGTATATGTTGTTGCATCAATTTTCTAAAAAAAAATTTAAAAAGAAAAAAATGAAAGTTTTTGCATCCAGATTCACAAGATAATAATATGTAGTTATTTTTTTCTTATAATGACTATTTCTAATTTTGGTAGCAAAATCAAGATAATGCTGATCAGAGAGAATAGGTTGGGAAGTATTTTGTCCTCTTCAATTTTCTCAAGCCATTTGTGTAGACATGGTATTATTTCTTCCTAATGTATGGTAGAATTCTCCAGGGAAGTCATCTGGGACTCGAATTTCTTTGTGGGAATGTTATAAAACTATTCGGTTAACTTCTTTTTACATATAGGGCTATTTTGTTTTTTTACTTCTTGGGTGAGTTTTAGTAGTTTGTTTTTCAAAGAATGTTTCCAGTTTGTTCAGATTCTCAAATTTATTGTCATAAAGCACTTTTAATGTTCCTTCTTCTCCTTTAAATGTATGTGGAATATATGTGATGTTGCATATCTCATTTCTAATATCATCATTTTTGTTTATTCTTAATAATTATGACTAAAACACTAATTTTGTTGACCTCAGAAGCCAGTGCTTTCATTGATTTTTCTCTTATTATTTTAAATTTTCTTTCTTTCTTTAAGATTATTATTTTCTTATCTTTGCTTTGGTTTTGTTATTCTCCCCCCCCCACTCCCTCTTCCCATTGAATCCACTGAGCTACTTCTTTACCCCTTTTTGTTTTGAGATAGGGTCTTCCTACATTGTCCAGGTTGGCCTTGAATTTGAAATTCTGCCTTAGTGTCCTGAGTAGCTGGGATTACAGGCCTAAACCATCACACCCCAGCTCTTCACTGTTTCTTAAGGTTTATTGATTTAAACTTTCCTAATTTAAATGTTTAGTGTTACAGATTCCTTGATAAGTAGTGCTTTAGTTGCATTTCACATTTTCTAACATGAAAAAGTTAATTGTGACATGAGCATTCATATAGCTTTGCTTCAAATGTTAAGGCCAGCCAGTTGGCCTGCCTCCCTGCCTGCCTCCCTTCCTTCCTTTGTTTATTTTACTGTTACTGGGTATTGAACTCAGGGGTACTATTCCACTAAGCTACATCCCCAATCTTTTATACTTTTTTTTTTTTTAAGATAGACTCTCTCTTAATTGCCCAGGTTGTCCTCAAACTTGCATTCTCTTGCCTCAGTCTCCCTAGAAGCTGGCATTACAGGCATGTATTACTACACCTGGTTAAATATACAGTTTTAGAATTTGACATGTTTGTTTGAAATTTTAAATTGAGTGGATGATTTTAGGAGGTTACATTTTCATATCAGATACAGAATTAGAAATGAAACGTATAAAGCATCCCTAATAAGAAAAGATAAAATTCTACATGCTCCCAAATCTGTAACTTTTTGGGCACTGATGTGACTTCACAAGTGGAAAATTCTACAACTAAATGAATTCATGTGAGGAATCACAGCCAAAACACAGATATTGCAAAGGCCGGGTGCAATGGTGCACACCTGTAATCCCAGTGTCTTGGGAGGTTGAGGCTGGAGGATTGCGAGTCCAAAGCCAGTCTCAGCAAAAGCGAGGCTCTAAGCAACTTGATCTTGTCCCAAAATAAAAAATAGAAAAAGCTGGGGATGTGGCTTAGTGGTAAAAGTGCTCCTGAGTTAAGTCCCCAGCACCAAATATAGGGAGGTGGGTTGCTGTGGAAGTGGCTTAGTAGTTGGGAGCCCCTGGTTTCAGTCCCTAGCACTGCAAAAATCAAAATAAAGCAAAAACAAAACAAGTAAACAAACAACAGAAACCCCAAATGATTTAAATATTTAAGTATATATACACACACCATATATTTCAAAATATTGTATGGTGTGTATATATATGAACTATGGGTGTAT